TGGCCCCCGGCCGCTGCAGCGATCATGGCCCCCGGCCGCTGCGCGGCCCGGTGCCAGGTACTCCACAGCCCGGCACCGGTCCGCGGACCGGGGGTTGGGGACCACTGATCTAAGGTATTATGTTAGCTATTGACCAGTTGGAGGCCCTGCATAATGGATTTTCTTAGTGGATCTCTTCAGTGGTAGTTTTACTTCATGCTCCCTAGTTTATGCTCAACCCTTTAATGGGATTTGAACCTACAGGCTTTGATTTAGCTTTAGAGCAGTTTTGGTCCAATCACTGGTACTTTGCAGGAAGGGAGGTATCCCAGAACCTATGCAGGTATATTTCATTTTGTTTTCTTACATGTTCTTATACTACAGGGAGTTGTAACTGTTACTAATCTGGGCTTAATTTAAGAGAACTCAAGACTGTCTGTCTTCAAGCCCCACGTCACCGTAGGATGAGATTGCATTTTCTTCCATCTCTATATATTCTTGCAGATTTGGCTTGGGTTTACTTTGAGATCAAAACCAACGTAAACTCTTTCCAACTTCATTAAATATAATGGCAGCCTAGGCAATTTTTCCCATTGTCCACTAAGCAAAAGATTTGAGTATCACATTGGATAGAAACAGTTTTGACTTTTAAGAGCCAAACTAGGTGATTCTGGTCAGGGGCCATACAAATATGTACTTGTTTCTTCTCAGCAAGCTTTGGAAATGTTATTTATGTAACCTAACAATCTCTGAGCGTGCTTGTTTTCTTGCAGACGTTTCATTACCCTAACTAAATAACATCATCAGTGCTAGTTAAGGGAATGAAACATCTGCAAGGAGGCAAGAAGTTCAAAGAACACAAAGGACCCTTCATTTCAACCCTGAGCTACAAATATTCTCCTTTATTGGAACCTAATGCTCTATATTTGCTAAAAACACAGTACAGCATACCTTAAAAGCTCGCTCTTCCTTTTCATTTAAGAGATATAACTCTCTATCCATCACATGGCTGGTTAACATTTTTACTAGAATTAACCAAAAGTAAGATGCAAAAAAAAGGGGGAGGATTTGAAATAAAAAAAACTAAGCCATATGTTTCAGCCACAGTAGATTAAATTCAGAAGCAATGGTAGAACAGATCAGAAATTCATCCTCGTTATTATTCTGAAACATGGTAAACTAGTTTTATATTCTGGCAAATAAACAATAATCAATGTGAACACAGATATGTGGTCAGCAGAGGTCAAACCAGCAAATAAAGAGGAAGTGCAGGTACAGGAGGAACTAGAAGAACGGGAGCAGGTGAAACAGGAGAGTCCACTGGTGAGTCCTGAAATACCTAGACATTCAACTAGTGTAACTAGACCACCTGACAGGTATCAGGCGTCTATAGCATGTCAGGCAGATTAAGGTTCCTGCTAATTACCATGGATTAACCCTGTATCCTAAGGAGAAACATAGTTTGGAAAACAGCAATGGAAAAGGAACTAAAATCCTTACAAAAGTTAGAGGTTATGAAAATGTAAGGTTACGCCCAGGTAAACATGACATAGGATGTAAATGGATCTACAAGATTAAAACAAGTGTAGATGGGACTGTTACTCATAAAGCCAGATTGGTAGCACAAGGGTTTGATNTTTCTCCTTAGTTCCAGGTTGCTTCTCTCCTTGATTAGTTTCCATCCACTGCTTCTTGTCCTGCCTTCAGGTACTTTGGAGAATAGTTTGACTCCCTCTTCTTTGTCGCAGCCCTTCAAATATTGGAGCACTGGTATCATGTCACCCCCTTGTCCTTCTTTTCATTAAACTAGACATACCTAACTTCAGCAACCGTTTTTTATGTTTTAGCCTCCTGTCCCCTAATCATCTTTGTTGCTCTTCTCTGCTCTCTTTCTAAAGTCTCAACATCGTTTTTACATGGCAACTAAATGAGTGCCAGCGATTGCCTAAATAACCTCTACTCTGTAAATGTTTGTAGCTGAGACAAAATCCTATACCGAGTCAGATGGTTTCATGATTAGCAGAGCTGAACTACCAGATGCTACTGGTGTGAACTGAAATCCAGTATAAACTATGAGATATTATTAAAACTTGCTCAATGCAAGGACAATTTCCCACACTTATACTTCACTAATGGGAAACAGATAGCCTGGCCCCAAAGAGTATCTTGCCTTCAAAAAGAGCCCATACTTGTGATTTTCCTTGTAGTGCTTTTTAAAAAACTTTTATGTCATCTATAGATAGTCCTGAATTTATGACAGATCACTTAGTGACTGTCTGAAGTTACAATACCCAAAATATATTTATGACCTGGGTCTGAAATTCCAATTGTCACCCCCCCTGCCAGTCATGTGACTGTATTTTGGGCATCTGGCAACCAGCACACTTTTATAGCTGTGTGCAGCATCCTATGATCACATGACGTTGTTTTTGCTCAAAACTAAGATATACTTCTGGCTTCCAGTGAAAATGTCACAGGGCAAATAATGGGTTTACTTAAAAACTGTTGCAAAAAATGTAATTGTCAGGTCCAATTATGTTTGTAAGTTGAGGACTACCCACATAAGATTTTTTAAAGCATAATTCTGAATATTATTAAATCTTCACCAAAGAAACAATTTTCTGGAGCTTCAAGATGTCCTGTTTTCATATTCTTAAAAGTATTGTCACTGCTTATATAAAGATACAAGGACATCTTTCAGAATATAAATATATATTTTATCAAACAGCTGTGTAATGTAGAAAATATTAATATTTTCATAGGGTATGAAATATGGTAGAGTGGCAAAAGTGTTTTGATTGAGAAAGCATATATGTACTATGAGAACAAAGATAATAAAAAAGACTAACAATTTGTTCAAAATAAAAAGTGTTCCTTAACAATACTTTAAAAAAACTATCCAAGACCCTAAGTGTTCATAATATTGTAAGATAAATGTTAAGTTGGATGTTTGATTTGGGTTCCAAAGTGCCACTTATGTTGTGAAAGTGTCCAGAATTTTGGAAGTTGTTAGATGACTCCTGTAAGAAACTGAAATAAGTTTGAAAGTCCATTATAAATCCTTATTTAAGATTTTTCACCCCATGCCAAAAACTGTCCCACTGAATTGTGCAGCACAAAATAATATGGCTGACTTTCCACATTTGACTGTCTTGTGACAAATGCTTCCATAAAAACAGTCTGATTGTTCATGTGAAAATTCATTTGTACAAAAGAGAACCAGATAAGCACAGATAAACACATCTGAACAGCTTTAGATATTTCTTTTGGCTTCATTCTCTTTGTTCCCCAGTTGTTGTTTCTTGCTTATGCATTGAGGATTACTGCTGAGCTGTGATCATATCTGACATATTGGAAGAATGTTTTATATGATCTATTGACCTGCTTGAAAAACATTTTATTCATTTGGCTTAGTCCACGATACCACCTTTGTAAAGCTAGCTTGGGTCTTTCTGACCTTAATACCAGAGATAGGATTGTATTTTCCCCCTCTACTGCAGATAGGCTAGAGGGAAATATGTATCAATCTGCCCTAATCAGAAAAGGGACCCTTTGTAGAAAACATTTTTATTCGATCCTTTCAAAGCATAATCTCAAGTTGTTTGGTTTTCCAACTAATATCTCTATATTAATCCTTTTCCGTGGATCTAAAATGGAAGTTTAAAAATTTAATACAGATAAAAGTAGAATTTGATTTTTTTTTCTTTTTGTGGATGGATGTGTCTTTTGCGAGCTTGTCATAATGATGCACAATGTTGCTGTATATATCAAATAACGTTCTTTCTTTACCATTATTGGTTGTCAGTCTAGACCAGGGGTATCAAACTCAATTTCGCTGAGGGCCGCATCAGGGTTGTGTTTGACCTCAGGGGGGCGTGGCCAGGTTGGGCATGGCCAGCTCAATGTCATTCCTATCGGGGGCGCCTTTGATGGCCCGAGTGCTTTTCCAGGCTTCTGAGCTGTGTTGTTGGCTGCCACAGCCTCCTGCAACCTTCTGCCAGTGAAAATGGAGCTCGGGAGGGCTGCGCTCTGGCAAGGGATTGCAGGAGGCTGTGGCAGCCAAAAACGGAGCTCAGGAGCCCGTTTTCGCTGACAGAAGTATCGCGGGTTGCTCCTTCGCTGTTTCCAGGGCAGCCATGTGGACCAGATCTAAGTACCCGGTGGGTACTTGAGTTTGACACCCCTGGCCTAGACTCTAGATTAAACTAGTGTTCTGCCTGGCTTGGAAAAACACTTTTTCTTGTTCCAGAGGACAGAATATAAAGGGTGGTCTGAATATCCTGAACAATCAATAACATATCCTGTCTGCTTTTGCTATCACTTGCAAAAAGTAATATTGACTTTAATTTCTCCAGCAGACTTTTTTTAGAACCAAGAAACAAAACAAACCTCGTAAGAGATATATTGCCTTTATCAAGAGCTTTTGCTTTGCACAGGGAACCTGAACTGATGGTTATCTTAACTTAGCCTGATAAAATGAAAAATGCACAAAGGGGTAGATGAAATCATATTTAATAGGCTGCAAACATTCATACTATAATATTCCTGATTATGGTCAACATTGTTTTTCCTTTTTGGTGGGTAGTAATTTGCTGAGATATCTAGAAATATTATCACTTTGCTGTCCGTAATGCACATATTTAACAGCGTACAGGATGATAATTATATATTATTGGCTTGCTTTCTTAGATATTCCATGGAACTTATTCTCCAGCTCAAAATCGCCCAAAGCAATTTGAACTGGTGAATAACAGAATGTACCAGAAATTCATCGCTGTGTCATCCCCTATTGGATAGGTAAACATCTCCAGCAAAGAAGAGTACACCCTTTCTCAAGGAAAAATTTTTGGGGAAAACAGCTCTTACCATTAGTGTTTTCCTGATACCCAGTTGAAATTTCCTTCCTTGTCATTTAAGCCATTTTTTTTTCTTTTCTGAAACATCTTTGAAGAATTGTGCCTTATCTTCTTGAAGACAGCTACCTTGTCTCTCCAGTCTTTTCCAAGCTAAATATATCCAACAGCTTCAACTGTTCCTCATAAATTTTTCTTTCCAGGTTGTTCTTCTTTGGATACCTTCCAGTTTATCAACATCCTTCCTAAAATTTGGTGCACAGAAGTGGACACAATATTATAGGTGAGGTCTGAGCAATATTTTAGATGCAGGATGGAAAGGATTAATGGTTTTTCTTGACACTGCTGTTGATGGAGGCTAAGATTGCATTTTCCTTTTTTTTTTTTTTTGCTGTTGTATCATTGTTGGCTAACAGTTTGTTATCCACTAAAATACCCAGATGCTTTTTCTAGGTACCCAGCATGGTTCCTCCCCATCCTATACTCATATCTTTGATTTTCTTTTCCTATCCAAAGATCAGTATATATTTAGTTGAAATATAGTTTATTAGTTTCTGGTCAATATACTGTCCTCTATACTCGTGCAAATTTGATAATATTTTCTAACCCCCTCATCTATATCCTTTATAAATATGGTGAACAGCAGTGGGCCTAAAATGGTATCTCTATTTGACACTTGCTTCAACCTGACCCAGAGCTAGTGACATATCTTTGTTGGGATGATTATTCAACCAGTTTTATAGCTGTCCAATGATAGTCCAGACCCCATTTGCTCTTAAAACTGTTGGAATAACTACCCTGTTTCCCTGAAAATAAGATCTCCCCAGATAATAAGCCCAATCGGGCTTTTGAGTGCATGTGCTAAAATAAGCCTTCCCTGAAAATATTGCAACACAGCAGCAGCCATGAGGTGACCACGCTCGCTGCCTCCTGCACCTCAAAAATAATAAGACCTCNTGCAGTGTCTCTGTATGCTGGTTTGTGTGTTCTCCAACAACACTCTCACAACGCTTCTCTGAACGTACTCGCTCTCCCAACGGGGAGCTTACCTACCAAAGGGTAATTTGAAAATTTTACCTTTGAAGTCCTAAGATAAAGCACTTTGCAGTTCAAGCATTGAAGATGGAAGTTATGAACTGAAGGCATAGTTATAACTAGCTGTTTTCTGAAGTCAAGTTAAACCTAGCATTCATAGACAAAATGGCTTTCTGTGCATCTCTGAAAACAAGCAACACATAAGAGGTGTGTTGGCCTGGCAAAGATTTATTTTCTCCATTCTTCCTGTCTTTCTTGTTTTCCAGTATATTAGTAACTGTTAATAGAAAACCCCAAGTAGGAGCACAATTATAATTTTTGAAACAATGGAATCTCCCAAATCTCTGATGGGATTATTACTATTTACGTCACGGTGGATTTAATTTTAGAAATCTATAGAAAAAGAACCTGAAGTAAAACACACCTTAATACAATGCCTTTATATAAATCTGAAAAAGAAAAAGGTTATTGTTGAAGTGGAAAAATACAGGAAAAAGTATCCAGACAATCAAAAATCTTGGCCATGAAGTAAGATTACAAAATCTGGGGCTTTCTGGTTTAGATTTAAAAAAAAAAACCCAGCAATGCTGCAAAGGGTAACGAAAGCCAAAATGGAAAACTCAGGTTAATCAATGAAGATGAATGGCAGGACGTTTAGAACGGAATAAATAAAGGTAGGGTTTTTTTGCAGGTTTTTTACACACAAACCATAGAATTTCCTACTACAAAGTGTATGTGCTACTTGAAGATATTGCTTCACCACAGTATGCAAAGTCAGTCTGGTCTGATTGACATTCTTATGGTTTGAAATAAAGCCAACACTGACAATATCACCATTTAAACTTGGAGCATCCAATATGGCTTGACTTCAGGATTTTATAACTTGCCTATGCATATTTGCAAAAAAGTAATTCCATTATATTTGCTGTTCCTCTAAATTGGTAACTGTTAATGTTGTTGTTATTAGTTGCGAAGTCGTGTCTGACCAATTGCGACCCCACACGGACAACATTCCTCCAGGCCTTCCTGTCCTCTACCATCCCCTGGGGTCCATTTAAGTTCACAGCGACTGCTTCAGTGACTCCATCCAGCCACCTCATTTTCTGTCATCTCCTTCTTCTTTTGCCTTCAATCCAGAGGTGGGTTCCTGCCAGTTCTAACCTCTTCTATAGAAGAGGTTCCACAAAACTACAGTGCCATTTAGAACCGGTTCCAGCTCCCTCCCCNAAGCAAGAGCGTTGTTAAGTGAGTTTCACCACATTTTACAAGTTGGCCACTCCCACCCAGCCAAGGCTGGCAAGCCACTCCCACCCAGTCACATGGCCAACAAGCCACTCCCACTCAGTCACATGGCTGGCAAGCCACTCCCACAAAGCAGGCTACACCAAGATAAGAGGTTCTAAAAATGCTTGAAACCCACCACTGGTACAAAGCATAAGTTTCTATACCTTATTGTCCTGGCCTCTGAGCACCATGCAGGGTCTAGATATGGCTCTTGCTAACCACCACATTTGATTGACTGCCAGTGTGTTATTATGAATTCTGAGTCTTTCCACAGCATTATTTTTTTTTATTCTTGCTAAATTGTTGAGTTACTGTATTTGGCCATGAAATCATCTTTATACATTTTATAGTTAGAATCAGCGGTGGGATTCACTTACTTTCCCTACCAGTTCGCAAATGTGAGCGCAGGTCTGTCTGTGCTCGTGCATTACGTCAGGGCGGGTGGGCGGAGACTCCCACAGCCGCTGCTACTGGGTCACCTGAACCAGAGAGAACTGGCTGAATACTACTACTGGTTAGAATAGCTAGAAAACTGTTCTGATGAGAAAGATTGGAGTCGAGAGGAACCAAAAGGAAGAAGCAGGGAACAAAAGGAGCTTACAATAAAAAAATATTGTTGGTGTCCTTCAGAAACCTCAGGGTAGTGATCAAGAGCTAGAGGCAGGGGAACAAAAGGGGCTAAGGTGGAACGAAAATGGAAGGCAAATAATTCAGGAACCAAATGATGAAAATTCAGGATCCGTTGAGTGAACAGCAATGAATTGTATATGCACCAAACCGGCAATAATACCGATAGAAACCCACATGTGACGGGGACAAAGTCTTTTGTCTCAACTTGTCGTTTTTACGAATTGTTCTATTCTTTTCTTTTAAATAACAGTTCAGGTAGTCCTTGACTTACCATCATTCATTTGAGTTCAGTTCAGTTCAGTTTATTGTATTTATATGCCGCCCTTTTCCCCCGAAGGGGA